CTGAAAGAAATCGAAACCAGTAAAACAAATTGCCCAAAATTCTGTTGAGATAGATAACCATCAAAACGCATTCCAGCTCTATTAAATATTACTTTCAAATCATGTTATGCTATGAATTCTCTGATGGGACAACATTTTGAAATACTGCAATTCAATCTTCGAGTAGTTCATATAATGACACATGAAAAACCCTATACCAATGGAATTATTCAATGAAAAGCTCTTCTGTGAGGATGTAACAAAGCATTGTCACAGTGATGAAAAATGTCCGCTCCTGACCCGTATTACAGATTTTCAGATATGCTTCAAATGTTTAATGGAGTTCAATTGCGAAAATTAATGTAAATCCATCGAGAAAATTTATTTCCACAATCAGTGAGTAATTATATTACTACAAAGGAAGCCACGGTAAAAGGCTTTGGTAAAAGGCTTTAGCAATATTTCAGTAAAAGGAACGATTTAAAAACGCTGATCGATTTTCAACATGACGATAAAAAAGATTTATTCCCCTGTTTTGAATATTAACTTCATTATTCATAATTATTCTTTTATCATTATTGCTATTTTGTTTGAAATTTGTGTAGCTTATACATTTTTAATGTTTCATATTCAAGAAAAGGACATAATAATTTTCCTTCTTAACACAAACAAGTAATTTTTTAAGTCCATTTAAATGTTACGTTTGAATTTTTTTTTGAAAATTGTATTTATTTATATGTAAAATTGTATATAATTGACAGTTATACGCTATAACATATTAAAAGGACCAAGTGTTTGCGCTTTAAAGTAAAATATATACACCTAAGTATTGCTTGGACTTGTAGAGTTGTAATTTCCATTCCAGTGCGCATGTGCTTCTGGGATAATTTATAAGGTATGCTGCAAAGTAAGAGAGCGAAATCGAAATCGAAAAATGACTATACACAACAATCAAAACCGTTTATAAGGTCCGCATCAAAATAGTTTTGTTTTGTACAATTGCATGATTTAGAAATGAATAATATAAGCAGTCACAAATACTGGTAAAATATATTTCTTTTGACTTTGAATATCGTTTGGTTGCTGTCTCATTACGCATATACAACACACTTCTTTAAATTTGTATGTAAGTGAGTTTGAAAGAATCTTCAGTGTAAATTTACAGAAAAGAGAAAATCTACCGAAAAGCCAGTTATGCCTAAATTAAAGCTATGCTTCCACACCAAACAAGCAAACATAAGGCTTTATGATTACAACTCCAATACAACAATAGTCAGGACTGGAAACTTAAAAAGTGTGTCTTTGTAGCTAATACCCTTGATAAGATACTCTGGTATAGGGTAACTTGGTTAAAAAACAAGATGGTTTGGAACTCTTTCGCAAGACAATAACACCCTCGATGAGAGGCAAACGTGCTGCAGTGAGCATTTATCATACGCCTCTATGTCGATAAAATAAAAAAAAAAAACACATTTTTTTTTGAAAATGTAAATATTTTTGAGTGTTAAAGACCTCGAGTTACAATTTTTCATAGAATAACCATTTATGAATTATATTCATTGAAACTATTTTACTCCGTTCACCAGCGGCAGTAAAAATTATTCGTTCCTAAATTCGGTTCAGCTAATTTTAAAATCATGCACATAGTTATACTAACTCGTCAGAAGATGCATGGAATACTTACAGCAACCATTTATCAGTCTGTGTTAAAGTTATATGAAACGAATTACTTGTTGTTCAATGTAAAGGAAATTATTGAACTAATGCATGCATATATACTAAACTGTTTTCTCTATATATGCACGTTTTTTTTTACATTATAACAAATCCAATGACCATAACGTGTAACCCACAAAACATATTTCATTGAGTGAGTGTTGATCGAAAACATTGAATGCTTATCAGCTTTCGGATTTTGTTGCTGAAGTTTACTGAATGATCTTTATTCTCATAAACCAAATACATAGTTACAGAGAAGAAATATTACAATAATAACAAATATTGAATATAGCATGTGTGAAATACAAATTATTGTTAATATATATTATAAATATATATTTGGACAAAAGATAAATAAATATACAATAGTTGTTTTAACCAGGAGGATAGACTTTCACAGAAATACATTTAATAAATTCTCAAGTTCAACACAATTTCGATTTGAGTATACTTTATAACATTTACATTAGATTTACAATATTGCGGTAAATATTTGTTTCTTTCGTCTTTGAAAAAATTACAAGACATAATATAATGGTATTCGTCACCGATGTCAACTGAGTCGCAAAGGTGACACAATCTATCAGATCTTGGTATGTTGTGCCACCTTCCCGTCTCAATCGGCAAACGGTGATTTCCACATCTAAATTTACATAGTTTAAGGTTATTAATAAATTGAATGGTAGCACTGTCAAATAGTGTTTAAATTTAAAAACATTTTTATACAATCTATAACATAAACCTTTTGGCGAATTGTTCATTTCTGATGACCATTCTTGAGTGAACTGGTCTCTTAATCTTTGCTGAACACTTAATACAACCCAGCGTTTCTAAAATACATAATGACTTTGCCATACATTTGACATTCTACAATCATTAAAAATTTTCTTTATATAAGATAACCATTTATTTTCATAACCAAAATTATTGAGATTAACATGTAACAGATTATATAATAAACATGATATTTTGCTCTCTTTTCCTTCTTGTAAGCAACACCAGACACTAATCATACGTGACTTGACGGTAACTGAAATAGGGTATCTTCCCAGCTCACCATACACCATAAAATTTGGGGTTGAATTTTTTAGACGTAATATATGCTTGCAAAAACGCAAATGAACTCTCTCAAGAATATCTAAATTTTCGAATCCCCATATTTCGCACCCATATGTTAATATCGGAACAATAGACTTATCAAACATATCTAGTTGGCACTCGATCGACAAATTATTAAGTCTGGAAATTTATATTACAGCATACATTGCTTGAATCGCCTGGTCACGTAGATATTTTCTGGTGGAAAGAAATGAGCCACTTCTAGAAAATATAATACCAAGATATTTATAGCTACTGACTATCTCAATTTCATTTCCATCTATATCAAATATCAAGTTTCGAGGTATTCTACCTCTTGAAAATACCATAATTTTCGTTTTATTGATGTTAATTTTTAGTTTCCACTCTTTACAATACTCTGAAATTTTATCCAACATACATTGTAAGTCATGGCTAGATTCCGCAAGTATAGTATTGTATCATATGCATACAATAATAGAAATTTTTTAAAATATACAAAAAGTTCGTTCTCAATATCAAGTGTAACAGACTGAATTCCATCAATATTAGAATTTTCTAAAAATCCTTGTAGATCATTTAGATATAGTGAAAAAAGCAGAGGAGAAAGATTTTTCTCCTTGTCTAACGCCTGTTTCGCAGACAAAGATATCAGAGACTTCTGAATTATGAACAATTCTAGATTTGACATCATCATACATGTTTTAAATAATTCTTAGAAATTTTCCGTTTACATGGTTCAATATCAATTTTAAAAAATAATGAATTTCGAATTTCGATGTATAAAAATCAAAAGCTTTTTCAAAATCGACAAATACACAAAAGAGTTTTTTCTTTTTCACCCGTAATAATTCAAATAAAGCGTGTAATGAAAACATATGATCCGATGTGGAATTACCTTGCCGGAAATCTGCTTGGTTTTCATTTAGGATATTATAATTTTCAATAAAATCACTAAGTCTATTGTTAAGAATAGACGTGAAAATTTTCGATAGACAAGACAAAAGTGTAATAGGTCTATAATTTTTGGCGTCCAATTTGCTCCCCTTGTTTTTGAAAATAGGTATTACGTTTCCTATAAGCCAAGCCTCAGGCAAGATTCCCGTATCAAATACAATATTAAACAAATGTACATAAATATCAACCATACAATCAAGAGAAGAAGCAATATATCCATTAATCACTTGGTCTTCACCCGGTGATTTGTTATTTTTAGCCTTTTTCACGGCTTTCATAATTTCCTCCCGTGTAATCTTAACCTTAATAAACAATCAACAAACATGCATGGAGCACGTGAAAAATAAGTGAGATGATAGAGCGATCTTTAATATTTTCAATATGTTCCATGCGTTTTCATTTGTTAATCATTTTGTCATAATAGTTGTTAAATGATTTTGGTGTATTAAATTTTTTGTAAAATAATCAATTAACACTACACTTAATGTCTACTTTCCAGTGCACGTTTGTTTCCTTTTTCATCACGGGTGAGGATATGCGGTTGTCGAATTTCTAACGAGTAGTCCAATGGTTAAGGTCACTGCATTCGGAAAAGCTATCGGCGAATAAGAGTATGGAAAGACAATAATTCATTAGTAGTACATTTCTAAAGATTTTGATAAGATTTAGGATTTCCTTTTACAAGAAAGTCCACGAACACGTGTTTTAAACTTAGCCATTCAAGTATGTAAAACATATTCAACTACTTTTTTTCAGTTTGAAGTTTCACAAGACTTAAGAAATACACCTGTTATACATATAATTTTATTTTCACTTGTTAATATTTAAACGCGACAACCAATTTATTCATAACTTGAACGTCTTGTTAACTTATATTAAAGTATATTTCTCAATTAATAATTTTTTCCAGTGATGTACATATTTAAAACTATCTTTGGAATTACGAAAGTGAGGTCCACTTTATTTACAAAGAATAGATAAGATCTATGTTTCTGTCAAGCTGCATGAATTTTTTGCATTGTACTGTTTTTAAAACTTTCCAATCATTTCATTGGAGGATGTGCATATTGACGTTATCTATTTTTATTCTTAACGAAGCTATATAGCTGCGTTCCTTAAGACTTTTGATACATTGACGTATTTGACATTTCATTAGATTTCCATCTTGAGCTTATAAGGCCAAAAAGTTATCATGGAAATTAGCTGAACTTAAGTTTATGTCAAGCCATTGCATATTTATATAGTCTTTGGTTGATTGTGTTTTGTAGGTTTGTGAAACGTCTGATTGTATCCACCAAGCAGCGTCGGTCTTATCACGGATGAACACGAACGCAAACCCATGTGAGGTAATTATCTTCGTCACCCAATCAAAACACTTGACCAGTTAATTTAACGTCTACTTCGAAGCACGCGCTACACTGGTCAGTAAGGAATTCAATAATAAATTGGATATCTCACCAGAGTTGTCAAAGGTTTAATATCGCACCTTCGTGCATACAAAGGACAAATTTACAAAATTAGATAGGCAGAATTTGTTGTTTGCTATCATTGTTAAGCTGGTCATTTATTGATTAATGTCAAATAAACATTGAATTAGGAGTATTTAATCATCCCATGAAAACCTACTGGGAAAAATAAATCATATTTCTTAACACGTCTTAAGTTTTTATTTCTTTACAAATACACAAAAGTATCGCCAAAATCTTATTTTTGCGTAATCCGAAACCCATTTATGGATTTTGTTGTTGTTAAAATTGATGTTCACTTCAGTGACTTTCCTGTATTGGAAATTTTAAGGAAGAATTATTTGAAAAGACACTAAGGCCATGTTCATTTCTATTAACTGTACTTACGCATTAAGTGTCAATAATAAGGACTGAATATATATACACTATTATATTTTTATTTGTAGTCATCATTTTCAATTGACATAGTCTCCTTAATTCATTAACAATTCAAAACGAGCTGTCATCATTGCAAACAGAATATTAAGTATGACAACTAACAGCCTTTTAACGCGTTGTGTATTGAAATTTGCATACGTCTTATTGCATAAACGATCTTGTCAATTGTAGTATGGATTTATTTATCAAGTTAATAATTGAAACAGAGTATCTGATTAATAACTTGATTGAAATTCAGTGGTTTGGATAAAATCTTTGAAATCTGCCAATATTTGCAGACATGCAATTTCTTGGGTGCTTGGGCTTTTAGACAAAATTCATTATCTTGATAGGAAAAGCAAGAAAAATTCCTTAGATTATGTCAGATATGAATCTATCAAAAAATAATTGTATTAGCTAAAACATTTGGCAATTAATCTACCTTTTCATTTTTGAAATAGGATTTTTACGAATTTGCATGTGGAGGCTTTCATCACCAATCACATCTGTCATGGGAAAGCCAAAGAGTCCGAGAAGTCCCAGACGTTTTACGGGAGAAGTTCGGATCTTATTTAGAAGGTAAAAGATGTTTTCAATAAAGAGAATCATAAAATATGTGGTATTTAGATTTCGGCGAACAAAATAATGATTTGAAAACATTGTATAGATTTTCGTAAAACTATCTGTCTTAACGTTATGCTGTATATAATTCTAGTACTATCTTTGATTAAAATTACAATGAACTATGTTGTTACAACATACAAAATGTGTATTCGTTAACCTAATTAAACATAGTTTATCTAGCAGTGATGTCGTTGTAAGACTTTTTGGTTTGCCACTATTTATAGATATTACAGATAATAAGTAGAAGTACTGTGAACAGAGCTCGAAAACTGATACCAACTTGACACCAGTAAGAAGGTTAAGAACATTGTTTGTTATGGGAACCATTAAAATCATTATGACATGAAGAATAATCATAAATTGAAACGTCAAAATCCATATTTTTGTATTGGAAACCCCAGAAATCATTCTGATAAAAAAGGATGTGGATAATGGCATTAAGTCATGAAAAATCTGCAAAAGTTCGATTGAAATTAAAGGAAAAGTTGCCGATAGGGGATGTAATAATCATAACATGAAAGGGAAAAGTCTATGTTTTTGTATGGTACCACAGACATCATTCTGATGAATAGTAAAATAAGAGCTGCACAATGGCATTATGTCATGAAAAATCTGCAAAAGTTTGATCGAAATCCATTCACTGGTTTAGGAGAAGTTGTGGATGGGGATGTTCACCCCTATAATATGAAAGGGAAAAGTTATGTTTTTGTATGAGAAACCCCAAAATTCATTCTGATCAAAAATTGTATAACAGAAGATACTCAAGTACATTACGTAATTAAGAGTATAATCACTATGTGAAAATTTCTTTGAAAATTTTAGTCTTTGTTTAAGTAAAAATTGGTGCGGATGGAAGAACAGACAGACAAACGGACGGACACCCCGATCACTATATACCCCTACTTCGTTAAGCCGGGTATAATAAAAGAATCACAAATATAAATTATCCCAGTACTAAGTTTCGTTAGTTAGTCTGTTGTTAGTGCTATCATATCATCTCTGGTATGAAAAATATTCAGAATATTTAAAGATAGCCGTCATTAAACAATATTCAAAATATGCAACATCAATACAACACACCAAAGAGTATTGTTAATTTAGATAACTGGAAAAGAATGGCAAATATATGTCTATGGTTGATGTGGTCTGTTATTCTATGCGATATTTTTGGCGATTCCTTTTCTGAAAAAAAGATTGCCATTTCAGAAACACCCGATCTCTTATAAATTATATTTTTCTGTACACTTAGTTAATAATTCTGTAGATTCATTGTCAACACCAATTTCATCTACTGAATCAGAAGCTCGCAGAACTGTTAAAGTACTATATAGAGATTGCAAAGACGAGAAAGAAACATTAGTAACAGCCCGGGAGAAGCGTAAGTATATTCCGGAACTCAATTCAAATAAGTTAAACCAATATATCTTTTTCATTAAAATGAATATTTGTGAAGAATATGTTTTTAAATGATGGAGACGGTCTTTCTGATTTACCATATAGTCGCATCGTGTTTTATTATGTAAATCAGCTTTCATGGATTTTTTTCAAATCTCGTTAGAGCGTGGAGAACGAATTAGTTGCGTAAAATATTTTGTACAACTAGCAACACTTTTTTTCATTTATTGAAACAAACTGTAATGGAATATTAATGGAATTATCTTCCAATCCATCTTCATGTACAGAAGTCACGGACAGAACTTAAGTTATAGTGGGACGTTAACTTTCCTATCAAAGAATGAATTTGTTGATATAATCCAATTTACTGGGATTGCTCAGAGGTGACGATACTCTTTATTGATCTGAGAATATTTCGTTTGCTGTTAGAAATTATCACATTTCGTTTGTCTTTGCATTATTGTGTTAAGTCTACAATTCAGATAAATGTCGTCTGTAATTAGTGTAGCAGAAACGCGCCGAAAATAGTAGCCATTACTCTTTTAACCGTGTGCATTAACCTCAAGTCTCTGCTTGAATCTTAATGTCAGATGGAAACGAATATTTATGTTTTCAAATGCTGAATTTGCCATTTATTGTTACTCTTTGACATAACTCATTAGCCTCCATAAATTTCTACAAATTATTTTGTTTGCGAACTTCAATTTATCCCAGGAATAGAGATATTTGTCATTATTGACATTACAATTTGACTATGACATACCACTTTCAGCGAAAAATGCCACGATAGAACAAATTGTCAACTAAACAAGAATTTATTTCACCAAATATAAGATTTTTCCTTGAATAATTAATGTGAATCACTAATATCATTTTGTTTATTTGTTTTGTTTTCTATTGTTTGCAGTAAGAAATCTCCTAGTCACCGTGAAGTCCAATAATGGGGTGAATATGAAAAATGAGACGAAGAACTACGTCACAAGATTACTAGCTATAGTTATGAAGCAGTATGGAGCTACGCCTCTCTTCAAAGCAATAGTTAAGAAAAATGGAGATATCACCGTAAGTTCTTGTTTTAAAAGAAGTAAACTTTCACATAGACATGTAAATATGATGGCACTCTCTATATGGTTTTAGTGGCAAAACAAATTACAAATCATGTAACCTCATGCGGCAATTGGGACATTCATACAAAACTTGGCAGGAATAGTGTATTGAAGCAACTTTATAGAGTTATATTCAACCAGTATGATGAAAACTTGGTCATTACAAAAAGCTCTTTACTCTCTTTTTCATATTCTGCAAGGGCCTTCCCTTCTGATGATATAGTAATTAACAAATAGTTTCAAATTAATATATAAGAATATTGCAATTTGTGATATTTAATCACACTTGTCTTCAACGGCACTGTGTAGCATTGAATAATATTTTCATTGCATGATATTTTAAAAATATTCATTTTTTTTAAAGGTTGTTTTCAAATCTTAGATATCTAATTTCTAATGATATTAGCATTTTGACTGTATTGACTATGAGTGAATTACTACACTTGATTTTAGATACAAGCAAAGTGTTTTTTCTGAGATAGTTTTTTTAGCATATTTGAAATTTGAAAGATAATGGACAGAAGTATGAGAAAGAATATACTAAGTGTTTTTGCGTTTTAATTTTGCGTTATTTTTTGGTAGTAGTTCTTGTCTAAGTCGATAATTTTACTTAAAGTCTACCAAAACATATTCCACGCAAATTGTTCCATTCATTCCTTAGAGTTTTTTTCGGGATCACACTAAAAATGTACTGTTAAGAATACATATAATTTAAAAACAATTGTTATCTTACTAGTTCATATAAATATTAGATTTCTAGCTGTATCAGGTACAATTTAATTAATTCCAAAGCACTCTTTGATTGATGGCAAACCATTGGGATTTTCCGTTTCAAAATCATTAAAAAGGAAGATATTGTATCTCTTTGATATTTTTAGATCATTATAATTAGGCTGAACTGCTGGTCTCAAAATTACCAAGCTAAAAAACTAAAACTTCATATGGTATCATGAAATGCTCAAAACAGGTATCTAGTTTTTTTAACACAATGCGTCTCTTTTTACAATCATTATGAAATTAGAAAAACCTCAATCCATTAAAATCAAGACATGGAAATAGCTATTAGGGAGACAAAAGGCCGGAATAGTAAGGACACGTGACTATTCAATTGTTTCGGCCTCGATCTGAAACTAAACTAAAGACAAGTTGTTAAACACGATATAATGTCGAAGTAAATGTGGTGACAGAAAGGAAATTAGATTAAAATGTAATACGATACCGAATTTGACAAAATCAAGTTTACTGCTATTTACAAGTCAAAAAGTCAATAATAAAAAAATTTATAAAAAACTAAATTACAAATCTATATCATTGCATTTTCATACAATTCCGTCTACGATGCATTACACAAATCAACAGATAAGAGTTCTTGTGATTATGGCAATCTGTTTGAAAAAATTAAGTGAAAATCGTTAAAACTAAATTTCAGATAGAATGTTACAATTATTACGAACGTTTACAAAACACAATGTTCGTGAAAACAATAATACTCATTGTTCTGGAGATTAAAAGGAGATGTCTAATAGCACTAACGGTGAAACTGTTATCATGACAACTAAAACATCATTTCAATTTAGAAATTGATTGTTGTACATTCTAACAATTGAGGTCAATGGGGATAGCTAATTAATTCTAAAAAAACCCATGTGAAAGTGAGACTCTAAATTGATTTATAAAGGGACAACATACAATCTGCGAAAAATTAGATGCACATATGAGAATATTTATGGCAAAAAAGAGTAATATCCAGCGAATTGAGGAAAGAATATATTATAAATAAGTAAAGACAGACAGTGATAAATAAAGGGAGAATTTGGGTATATGTTAATGAAACGGCAACCCAACAACAACAAAAAAGACTAACAAACAACAGTCTACAAAACACTACACAGAAAACTAAAGATTCAGCAACACGAAACCCACCGAAAAACCGAAGGGTAGCATTTCCATCTCTCCTTTATCCTGTTCTTATTTCCGAGATCAGTAGAAGAAATGGCACAGTCAAAAACAGACAGAAAAATTTCTCTACACTCTTGGTAATATTAGAGTTTGATTATGGTTTGAGCACATGCCTATCGTTGAAGGCCATATACTAACTGGTAGAGAGATTGATTATGGTTTGAGCACATGCCAATCGTTGAAGGCCATATATTACCTAATAGCGAGATTGATTATGGTTTGAGCACATACCCATCGTTGAAGGCCATATACTACCTAAAAGAGAGATTGCTTATGGTTTGAGCACATGCCTATCGTTGAAGGCCATATACTACCTAGTAGAGAGATTGATTATGGTTTGAGAACATGTCTATCGTTGAAGGCCATATACTACCTAAAAGAGAGATTGATTATGGTTTGAGCACATGCCCATCGTTGAAGGCCATATACTACCTGATGGTTTTTTGGACAATCGATTCGATGTCTGTTTCATTGTCAACTTGTTTTATTGATGTAGATTGAACTTTATATTTACGAGAAAAAATGTGTTGAACGCAGCAAAATGGATTACATACGGATATTGAGATGGTGGGCAGGCATAAGATATATATGTGTCCAAAGAGTCAACAACAAAAATAGTTTTAAAACGTGACATCAGAGAAAATTCATATATAAACTGTTCACGGAATTAGTATTAATCAATCTAATCAAAATATAGAATTCTGATTTTGTTATACTTCATGAGTATAATGAAATCAGAGTTTTATATTTCAATTAGATTCAGTATTATTAAAACTGAATTCATTGTGATCTATATGTTGATAAAAATCATATGATATTTTATGACAGTCAATCCTTAATGTATATTTATAATGATAAAAAAGAGTTGGTGGACAAAGGTTAAGTTAATACTAGAAAATTCCTGTCCATGAAACGCCTATACATGTGTTTCAGATATTTTATAAGAAAAAATCTTTTTCATCTTCAAATATTGTTGTAAAAGACAACTTTGACTTAACTTATGAGATTATATTAGTCTTTTGGCAGAATCATGCAATGAAAAACACACAAAACTAAGGTGGTTTGAATTATAGATAAAATGGTTTGGTTTACAATTATCTTTCCAATTTGCTGGTTTTTTTTTCTATACTGTTGACCTTATAGGCCCTTCTTAATCAGATTGTTTTTAATTTGAATATAGTAGTACGTCTTTTAATGTGTTTTTTTTTTGGCACTAAGCATTCCTGATAAACGTTGCACCATACATATAGCAATTGATATATGTTCTACCTTGTACATTTATTTTGTAAATCGAGCACCCTTTGACAGTAAAGTTGACGAATAGGTGATTATATATTAAATACACGTTGAAACATTAAACATTAAACAAATAAGTATAAGCCGTTCGTTCGGTTGCTTTAAAGAAGATGAAAATGGTAATTCCCGAGCAAAAATTCAATATTATTGTTTTTCCTATAACAAAATCAATTTTTCTTTGTAGAAAACTACTAATTTGATTTTCTTTATCCAAAATTAGCTTGTAATCAGTCATAATTAATACAGACATCCCGTATCAGTACAAAACAGATGCTCGTGGGTCTTGTTGTGCTTGTTTTATTGATAAATAGAACAAATAAAAATATCTTACATCAAAGGATATTTATTAAATAGTACAAAACAGTGTCATTTACTGCTCGCGGTCTACACGCATCTCATACGGAATTAATAAATATTGATAATAAGAGCCTCACAAACACGCAAAAAAGGGCAAGAAATTGCGACCTAAACAAGATTATAACTTTATTAAGATTTCTATTTTCTTTCTTGAGAAGTAAAATGAAATTATTGTTTTAACGTAACTTCATAAATGGATATCTGTCGAGAGAACATTTGCCAGCCGACCAGATCTTATAGATCCAGAAGTGGATGAATCAATAATGAAAAATAATGTTATCTCTTATTGCACCAAGTACGACATCAATCTTCATGCTGTGTGGAATAATCAAATTCATACTTCATCTTTCAAATCAACGTTTTACGGGCTTAGAGTTTGTATCAAAGACATAAAAGGTATACGTTTAATATGGTCATGTTATCTTGATCTGGTATTAAGCTATTCCAAGGAAGTTCAATACAATATTGGTGTTAGGTCCAATACTCTTTTTGATTTTAAATCCTGTTTTTTTCTTTATCTTATACAAAAAGGTGAGTCAGTTTCCATCACGTTAAAGAAGAGTTCAGTGATAATTAATTGAAAATTTATGTTGAAAGCATCTGAGATTCCGAAGCGACATTTATGGAAATTCACAAAGTAACAAGATTCCAGGGATGCATATCAGTTAACTCACAACAAGGATTAAAGCGTTTTTATTGCAACATATGTAAATTAAACAATGCCTTTGGTGAGAAAATAAATGCGACAAATTCCCAAAAGAGACAAAAATCGATTATAAAATTGAAAACATAGTAGAGTGTTCTTCTTTTGACTTTTTCATCGCTTTTACCATTAAAAGCCCTTGTCTGAATACATTAAAATTCTGTCAGAAATTAAGCAAGGATCCATATCAGATTTTAGATAATAAAATATATGTGACAGATAACCAAGTGATGTTATAAAAATGTGAATATAGCAGATTATAGGTCATTGATTTTAATATTCCACTAGCAGCAAATGACAACTTCGGAATTTCCCGGTTTTTACGAGGGTTTCATCGCTGCCAGAAGCCAAAAGATCAATGGGACTGGTTATAGGATTATTTTAACGAACTTTATATTTGTTCCTTTTCTTTAAGTTTTAGTATTGACTTACCTCAAGCAACCTTTATTTGAATTATGGGATTATGTTTATTGGTCCAGGATCAAATAAAAACTAAGACAAACAGGTCTTTGAAGTAATCGCTTATAAATGAAAAGTAAATAAAGACAAACGTTGATAAACATTTAACATATGTATCATTAAACGGGAGTAACTGAATTATAACAAAAACTAATTCAAATGTATTAATCAGTATAAAATAACGTAGATTTTAAAAAACTTTCATGATTTTTGTTTTGTTTTCCGGAACGGAACTTTGTCAAATATAAGACTCATAAGTTTTTGTTTGTTTCTGAATGACTTTGTAGTCTTTTGCTGATCGTCTGTAAAACAAATTTATTAGTTATCATCATGTATGTTTTTTTTTGGGAAGCATGAATATATTAGGTCAGGATTTTTCCAAATGTATGCTATGTCCTTAGTTCATGGATTACACAATTCGACTGGGGTCATTAAAGTAGATCATATAAGCCAGGATTTATGTTTCGAGCAGGCGTTTGTCCGGTTTAGAACAGTCCTTTAAAGGAATAAAGCGTATACCCTGTCGAAATATTAAGACATCACTTAGTTTGGGGTTCATACATATGTGTATATTGTTGTTGTTTCATATTGAACTTGCTATTTTAAGGTCTATTACATGTTCCATGAAATATCTTTAATAATGAACTAACAATGTTGACCCCCCTCCCCCTCCTCTTGGAATTCATTGCTGTTTGTCGTATTTGTTGTTTCGTGTGACTTTACATCAACTTTTGTATGAATTTTCTATGATTAATTTTATTTTGAAATTAGCTTAAAAGATGTTCAACATATATACTATCCAAAGCAAGAGGAATGTAAAGTGTCAATTAAATCGTTAAGGATTATTCATTCACACAGGAAAATATTGATCAGGAGCTTTGATAATATTAAAGAGCAAAAATTTAAAAAAACATCAATACAAATAGAAAACTCTGATGGTTCTGTTTTCAAAATTTGTTATATATGCAATCTCAACGGGCTGCCATTAACAAAGTGAAAGAAGTTCTTCGATTCCGGATGTCCGACAATCCGATTCTATAATTATCAATGATTTCTTGGATTTAGCATCATAAATGTCGGATATTTCAATACGAAATAGAATATTAAAAGGAATCATTATGTTGACGACAAAGAATTGAATTAGATACACGTTAGCTTCAGGAAACAAATCCCGTGATTTCACGCCTGTGTTCCGTTTGTTAGTCAACAAATATTGACACAAGCTAAGAACAAGGAAACGGTGACACTTTTTGAGTTGAATGCTATTGTTGGTTATGTTTGCTCCATTAAATTGTATCAAAACTATTGATAAAATATCAACAACAGGGATTGTTAAATTTTAAGTGCATAATTGATTACTCCACACTGAATATAAAGAAAAGCTGGTTTTTTCTTCAAGACTTGCATGAAGTTGAAATACAAGTATACCGATACGCAGCACTGTCCATATCGTTGTGACATTAAATCATTAAATAGTTGAAATAAGTTGTCTGTATAGTAAACATTTAAAAGAAGATATCATGTGTTTAAAATAGTTAGGTCAAAACCCCACTTCTTTAATAGAGAGGTGAAAGATACCAAAGGAACATTCAAACTCATAAGTCAAAAACTCAAAACATCCACTTCATTTGATCTTTGGCAGATAGTTGTTTCATTGGTAATCATGCTAAATCTCCTTATTTTTATAATGACAATGCCATGGGAAAAAAAGAAAAATAACGAAAAGACACACAACAGTACACAAAACACACATAGAAAACGAAAGACTGAGCAACACGAACCCCACCAAAAACAGGGGGTGATCTCAGGTACTCTGGAAAGGTAAGAAGATCTTGCTCCACATTTGGCACCCGTCTTATTCCTCATGTAAGTACAAACCGGGTGATTAGTCTAATTTGCTAGGTCACATTCGAGGAAAAGAGGAAGGGATTGTGGTTACAACACAATTGGAACATATCATGATTTGTAGGAGTGTAAATTTGTTTAACAACCTTTCATTGATTATAGATGTCGTCTTATGATAGCGATTTAAGTGTGCACTTTATGTGTTTATGGAACACCCTCCATCAGATGCATTCAAGACCGGAACTTCGGATAAGCCAAATGCATTTAATGTTTCAATACCTTAAAGCCATGAGCGCCAAACCGTCTAGGGTTAACTGACAAAGGTAGTTTCGACTTTAATTTTAGTAGCGTATCAGCTGTTCTTTGTATTGGAGTGATGGTACTCCCAGGAGCGGAAAGTCCACTAGTAGCAGTACCGACTTAGTTAGTCGCGGATGTAAACGTAAATTTTGCGGACGCCATCACGAGTTGGTTGGCCATAATGGAATATCTGTTTTACAGATGACAACGGATATGTTCCAATTGTCGTAACTAAAATCCCGTCCCCTTTTCGCCCGAATATGACCTACCGAATTGACTTATCACCGGGTTTGTACTTACATGAGAAACACGACGGGTGGCACATGCGGAGCAGGATCTGCTTACCCATCCGGAGCACCTGAGATCATCACAATTTTTGGGGTTCGTGTTGCTCAGTCTTTAGTTTTCTATGTTTGTGCTTTGTGCACAGTTGCTTGTCTGTTGATATTTTTCTTTTTTAGCCATGGAGTTATCATTTTATTTTCGACTTGTGAGTTAGAATGTTCCTTTGGTTTCTTTCGCCTCTCTTTCACCGAGATCTAATCTATATTGGGAATATATAAATCGTTTGGTCATTCAGACTGGGAAGCTGAATTCTAGTATATTAAACGTAAAGAAGTATAAAATATCAACCGTGAGCCACAATGTGAACCTTTATGGCGAGTGAGCGCAGCGAACGAGCAAATAAACTACACATAGTGTCGTCGCTGATAAGTTCTCCTCAGACATTGTGAATTCGCTGGTAATGCCTGCCATGATACTAGAATTACGGAACACGCACTGAGCAGGGTGATATTGGCGAAGGGAAGGGCGATAAAAATAGAGAATATCATATGGCTTTTTCAATATCACATCCGTATCAACCCGAGACACCAATATAATCCCAAGAGCTCTGCTCGAGGGATTATATTGGTTGAGGGTTGATACGGTGTGTGATATTGGAAAAGCCATATCATAAACACTTTATTATATACATATACCCCACGTAGATGTTTTTATGTGACATGACGTCATACAGGTAAGGAGGTTTGAAATGACGTCATACAGATTATAGGTTTGACATGACGTCATACAGATTAGGGGTTTGATAAAGGCTTTGCAACAGTGACTGCAATCGATGACGTGACGTCATGCAGATTAAAGGTGTGATAAAGCCTTTGCAACCGTGCTGATATCGATATCATCACGGGTGGCTGATACAGTATGCTTGCCAATGATTGTATTACACATACAATTTATCTGTATTTACTACTAAGTATATACTAACGTTATTTATTGGACGTACAGATTGGTCGAAGCGTCAATTGCAAGTACGCCCAGAAGGGCGTACGTTATCTACGCGGTTAAAAGTTCTTTTTTTTAAATAAATCTGAAATGTCATTTACTTGTTGGAAACTATATTTGTTTCTATTGAGTCGAAGCATTTATGGTCTTCATTTGAAAGTATTCAGTGGTAATTGTGTAAACACAGATTTCATAAGAGTGAATATATTGGCTCTACCGTTGTTAACAGCCTTTTAAAAATATGATATTGTAAGTCATAAACTTTCTTTACAGATTACCAACAGATATTCCAACGATTTAGTGGAAGAGTTGTTTGCCCACGGAGTAGAAATCCCTAGCTTCCGTTACTTAATGCCTGCAGATTTCAACTTTAGATATCCACCCGATAAGGTAACAAAGCCTGAAAGTACAAATAGAACAAAGTAGAAAAGGGTTGATATTATTTATTATGTACTTTTCAGGTAAAAAAATCGTATATAACTGAGGAAAATACTTTTTGATGTGTCATGCTATATTGCATCTGCTGATACGTTCAGTAATCGTAAAATCTAACAAAAAATGAACCATTCACTACTAATTTAGTTTTATCGAATGTTTTAAAAGTTGAACTGATTTACGTAAATACACTAAAACAAAATAAAAACGATTCAGGCAAGGTTACAAGACAATACCAACTCATATCTGAGAGTACTATATAACACACTAACAATTAGAATATTAATAATCGTCTTTATTAGCACTGCCCTTAGATTATTATTTCTTTATCATAAAAATACAAATTTGACAGATAAAACATACGGAAAAGCATCTGTTTCTTGTAGTACTAAGAAAATGAAACTGAATCATTTGCATGGATTACAAAATCTATTGTGCCAATATCAATAATCATTTATCAAGTTCTCACATGACAAATACAAATGAAAGTTCAAAAATCCAAAGCTACGATTATTATGACAAATTACCCATAGTCACGGAGGAATGAAAGGGTCGTATGTTTAAACCAAGTATCGGCTTATCAGTTAATATTTACATTGTTCTTTTGATGGTGTGATTTACAGCATTCAGCGCCATTCAAATTTATAAATGCATTTGCGAAAATATCAAATGATTCTTAAACTAATGCACTCTGTTTTGTTCGCGTATTGTGTTCGCTTTGTTAGTTTCTTAATCCCTAAAACAGTAAAATATTTAAGGCAATATGAGGGTATGAACTAAATGACAGATTTATTTTTCATACTTTATTAAAATGTAGTTAAAAGTGGTATTTTTTTTTAAATATAATAAAAAAATAGACCAAAAAAGGCTGCTATCAAGCGTCAGGATGTGAAAAATTGTCTCATTTTGTAAGGAATATACAAAGAAAAGGCATTATTATGTGTAACGAAGCAAAGCCAGATGACAGAATTTTTAAATAAAATATGAGAAGATACATATTTTGAAATGCTTTCAGAAAAATGTATTATTTATTTGTATAATAGAAAATAGAGAAAAATTACCGGACAAGTTTTAAAAATTTTAAAACAGTAATAAGGTATTCTACATTTGTAAAAACAGTCGTAATAATTAGATAAAACAACCTTATTTTCTTCGTTTAAATGTAAAGTTTTATATAAAGAATTGTACTCCTGCCTCAAAATTTGCTTAATATTTCATTCAAAATCTGGATCAATCGTTTTCTACTACATGCGACCCAAGATGGCCGAAGACTACCATACTACCTTAAAGACATAAAACGATATATATATTAGTGCTTACTGAACCTTCCGGTTCAGCCAAGATGGCGTGGCTAAATTTTGCTCTCCTTTTTATAAGTATTTTAACTCGATTTTATCCACCTAGAGACCACTACTATGAGCAAGTACTTGTTAAAGCTGAAGATCTAGGATATTATGCCAGTACGAACATAGAACATTTGAAAATTAATGACTTATCAGTTGAAAATTATCTGATGCAAAACAACCTACGAAAATTTAAAAATGGCGGCCTCCATGCCCGAAATGGAAAAGCACTTTTTTCTCTTATAAACATTCTGGTATGTGGTGACATAGCTTCCAATCCTGGCCCAGTGAAATACCCATGCGGCAGCTGTACAAAGTCTGTTCGTTCCAACCAGAAAGCAATAATGTGTGACCATTGTGATCTATGGTTCCACATTAAATGCATGAATATCACGGTAACATCATACAACATCCTATCTCAAAGTGATGATGAATGGTATTGTTCGAAACGTCAATTGCCAAATTTCTCAGACTCTTTTTTCGAGGATGATGACCAATATCAATACGATGGTAACAATTGTGAACCAGAGTCGGTGAGTTCTACCGAAGCTACAAAAAATGACAATTTACATTCTGATGAAGTCTTTAAATGTTTCCAGGAGGGAATGCACTTTATTCACCTGAATGCCCGCTCGTTACTTACAAAAATTCCTGAGCTACAAACTATTGCGTTTAAAACAAAAGCAGCAGTGATATCTGTAACCGAGACCTGGTTTGATGAAACGATAACCAATACAGAGGCTAACATCCCTGGATACACTATCCTCAGAAAAGACCGTAACAGATGTGGAGGTGGTGTGTGTATGTACATTAAAGAAAATCTTGCGTTTACGCCAATAAATTTGGACGAAATAAACAATAATGATGAATTTTTGTGTATTGAATTATTATTACCAAAATCTAAACCTATTTTTGTCGGGACTTGTTATCGACCCCCTCAAAATTGTAATTTTGTTGAGAAATTTGAAAATTTTTTGTCTCAGCTAAGAGAGGATTGTGAAATTATATTACTTGGTGATTTGAACATATGTTTTAAAGATCAGAGTGGATCACTGTATAAATCTTTTAATGCGCTTTTAAAATTGTTTAATTTAAGTCAAATTATTAAAGAGCCAACAAGAATAACAGAATTTACAGCATCTGTAATAGATCATATTTTATGTAATAATACAGAGAAAATTTCTCAGTCTGGTGTACTAAATATTGGTTTTAGTGATCATTGTATGGTATATTGTACTAGAAAATTAGCAAAATCTGTATATAATAAGCACAGTAATGTCTAAGTCAGATCTGTGAAATCTTATAATAAAGATGAATTTATAGCTAAGCTTACTAAAGCAAAATGGGAAAGGTGTTTCAGTGCCTCAGACATAAATGAGGCCTGGTCAGTTTTTAAAGAAATTTTTATGGATATTCTTGACAGTGTTGCCCCTCTTAAAGAAGTTTGTATTAAACAAAGAACAGAACCATGGATGTCAGCTGAAATTTTAATAGATATTCAGCAGAGAGACAAATTTTTATCTGATTTTAAGACTTCTAAAAATCCTGAAGATTTCAAAAAGTTTAGTAAACTTAGAAATCATGTTCAACGATCATGCAAAACTGCAAAATCTGACTATTACAGCAGTGAAATTGAAGAAAATAGAAATAACCCAAAACAACTTTGGAAAAGTTTTAAAAATTTAGGATATCAAAAAGATCCTAAATCAAATCCTAATATAGTATTAAATATTGATGGGCAAAACTGTCACGATAACAAAAAAATATCAAATAATTTTAACATGTTTTTTACAACTATAGCTGCAAAACTGGTAGAAAAACTACCAACTGCAAAGGGTTTATATAGTGCCACTACAAATATTGTTAGATCCTTTTATGTTCAGAGAAGGAAATCAGATATTTTTTTTTAATCTAAAGCATGTAGCAGAGGAGTTTGTGTATAAAGAACCATGCAGTTTAATATAAGTAAGAGCATGGGCCTAGATGGTATTCCAGCAAGGTTTCTTAAGGATGCAGCCCCAATTCTGAAAATACCCATTACTTTCTTGATAAATTTATCTACATCTGAGGGTACGGTACCTGACGATCTGAAAATGGCTAAGGTCAAGCCCCTATTTAAGAAAAATGACAGACTTAAGCCTGAAAATTACAGGCCTGTCAGTATTTTAAGTATTGTTTCTAAAATTCTAGAAAAAGCTGCCTATAAGCAACTTGAAAAATTTTTGATTTCAAATAATTTATTATTTGAGTTTCAATCAGGATTTAGAAGTTCATATTCAACTGATTCTTGTCTCATTCACTTGATAGATCACATTAAAGCTCAAACAGCCAAAGGTCTTTTTACAGGCATGGTCCTATTAGACCTACAGAAGGCATTTGACACAGTAGATCACAAGATATTATGTGACAAATTAGAAGTAATTGGGGTTAGATCTATACCTTGGTTTGAGTCATATTTAACAAACAGAAAACAGGTTGTAAGTGTAAATGGGGTGATTTCAGAAGTGTGTAATATTACATGTGGTGTCCCTCAAGGTAGCTTACTGGGTCCACTATTGTTTTTGATCTATGTCAATGATGTTCAAACTAGCATCGACTCAGATTGTAAAGTTTTGATATATGCAGATGATACTGCAATTTTATTTTCCCATATAGACCCTGGAGTCATTTCGCATAAATTATCCAGAATGCTGGAATCATGCCATGATTGGTTAACTGACAATAAATTGTCCTTACATTTGGGAAAGACGGAGAGTATAATTTTTGGTCCTGGTCGAAAACTTCGGTCTTTAATACCGGGTGATTTTGCTATCTCCTGTAATGGTATTAATATTGAATCCAAAACTTTTGTAAAATATTTGGGAATAATAATTGATCAGTTTCTAACTGGTGATTTTATTGTCAACTCTATAGTGAAAAAAGTCAATCAAAGGCTTAAATTTTTATATAGAAACAAAGAGTGTCTAAATTTTCAATCTAGGAAAACATTGTGCTCTTCCCTGATTCAATGTCATTTTGACTATGCATGTGCATGCTGGTATGAAGGTATATCAAAACAAATGAAGAATAAACTTCAAGTGGCACAAAATAAGATTGTGAGATTTATTCTGCAATTACATCCCAGAAAGAGTGTGACATATATTGAATTCAAGAAATTGGGCTTTTTAAATATTAGTAATAGAGTCAAACAACTAAGACTCAATCATGTTTTTAACATTTTTAACAATATATGCCCAAATTATTTACATACTAATTTTGTTAAAAATGAAACATCTTTCAATACAAGATCAAGTAGTAAAAACTTTTATATACCAGGAATTAAAGGGTGTGAATCAACCACTTTCTTTTATAATGGAATAAAAGACTGGAATTCGTTACCAGACACGATTAAAAGTTGCTCCAAAAAATTTAATTTTAAAGTGCAGGTGAAAAAATTTTTGATGGATAAATTTAAATCCATCTTTAATAGTGAATTTGTTTTTTATTAATTATACTTGGGCTTTGACCATTTATCTGTGATAAATTCTAAATGATTTGTGCTTGTATTTTTTATGTGTCAACCTTTGGTGTAAACTGGAAGTCTCGTTATAAAAGGACCCCACTGGAAATAAGTTTTACTAACTTTTGTGGGTCATCCTAAGATATTAGGCTACAGTGTAAAATCTAGTCAAGTTAAATTTCACTCATTTTAAATCTAGTCTAATCATATTATCAAAATATCATGAAAATTTTCATAATTTTATTTTTTATTTTTCATTTTCTTAATTTAAAATTTTTAGTAAACATGTATATCATTTAAGTGTCTATAAACTATGTCTAGTGCTGTATCTATGTCTTTGTAATATTTTGTACCTGTCAAATTCATGCCTTTTTATCTTGAATAAATATATATATATATATATATATATATAACGATTACGTATAAAAGATGACAGGAAGAAAAAAACATCTTTGGGTTAATACATGTTATCATTTTCTTTTATGTCATTACATGCACAATGAAACAACTTAAAGACCAAATTCATTAATAAATTGTATACTAACAGTGAATATGTTGGATTCACGAGTTAAGGCGACAATTGAATTTGTTGTCATGCTAGCCAGCGTTAACAGTCATCACTGAAGCCAGTCGACGTTATTATGCATTGATTGCATTCGGTTGTGAAAGCAAAGTACACATATTTATAGGACGGTACCTATTTTTCATTCTAAAACTATAAGTTTTTATAGAAACTGATCTAATCAAGTAACAAACAAATAATCAGCTAGGTAACTGCATGTCTGTTTTAAAGTTACATTTAACAAATTTCAGGTTCTTCATGCTTATGAATATTTTTTGTCTGAAGCATTACTTGCTGTATTCGGGAACACTAGCTTTAATTCAGATGTTGATGGCTTACTCCAAGCAACAAGCGAGGTATTCGAGTTAGAAATGTCACTGAATAAGGTACGTATGACAAGTAATACACGCGTATGTTATTTACACCATTTTAACAAAAATACATTTTGATCAATTTTCGATAACCTTCTTAGAGTTGCTGTGAATTGATAAGAAATACGAGGCAACGCTTGTTTGCCGATGTGGACATTTGTAAATCTGTTTTGAATATACCAAGAGAAAAAAAACTAGAGGGAATCGCATTAACTCCAAATTTTCGGAGCATGATCGGATGTGTTGACAGGGTAAACGTCTCTTGCTATACTTCAAAGTTGCATTACCCGCATATAAGGATTTAGGAGTGATGAAATATTTGTTATTCACAGATGAATTCAAGGAAAATCTAAGAGAAGACCAATATATTCCAGCAGATTCAATAGTAATAGCAATGATAAAACATTAAACAACATCCAATACCGAATAGTTGGACACCATTTGTTAACATCAAAATAATTCTTGTTTAGCAATTTTATCTAGAAATTGTTTATCAGTAATTAAGTCTTTCACTTTCAACCATTGGTCCGACCAGCATGTACCAGCAAGCAGACACAAAGAAGAACACCTCTTTTTAACAGCAACAATTTCCCTTTGTAGGTTTGGTATTCCGACGGTGGAGTTAATTATTCGGAAGAAATATCGTTTTGCAAAAACAGGATGACTATATCTGACCTACAACGTTTACATGAAGGATATAATATCAACTGGATTTTATTTTTCTCTACTCTGTTAGATAAAACAGTGGACGAGAACTTCGAACTATGCCATGTTGACTTAGTGTCTGACATTTCGTCTGTGATCTCAGAAGCAAAAGTGGAGTTAGTTATAAAATACATTTTAACTCATACTTTTGTCAATTCAGATGTATATAAGTATGTATATAGACATTTTCCAAAATTTATTAAATCAACAAGTGTATATAAAACAAAAGATTCCGATTATGATAATTCATATTGTATTTCATTATTATCAAAATATTTTCCGTTATCTGCAATATTTTTATCAAACCAGAGCACGTATTTCGAAAGTGTTTCTAGGAAACTATTTTCCAGTTTGAAAGAATCTCTTATGCAGACTATACAAGATCAGTACTGGATACCAGAGCTACAGCGAAATGACATAATTTCACATACAATACATGTTAATTTATCTTTTAATTGGAATAACAATTATAACAAAGACTATAGCTATATGACTAACAATTATCAGGAAAATGTGATTGGAGCATTGGAGAGTAAATACTCATCTGACATGAAAGGAATTCATTTTGTTTCCGCATTCGATCAAAGTATTGCATCGTATAATTCCTGGAACAGAGAAATTGGTAAGTATTTATAAGCTAGTTATCGCATACTTATATCAACAACTGAACCAAATCAAAATCACGAATGACAACACTACTCTCTCTCTGTTAAAATACATAATATTATTTCTGCATTGGCATTAAGTTGGTTAATTTTGTTTTTGCTGTTGTTGTTGAATTTATCATTTTTGAGGGGGAAAAGGAGGGGAGGGGTTGGATAGTACAGATTGTAGCAAACATATTTTATAGCCAATGCTCACAATACGATAATATAAAACAGTACAAGTCATACTGATGGATCAATTGTAATAAATATTGGTTTAACACTCAGCAATAATTATAAATAATTCATAAAATATTTTGATGTTTGATTAACACAGGTATTTAGTGATGTTTAGACATTAACCTATGGGTTTTGACTGAGCATTATAATAAAAGAAATACTACTTGAAAACATACTTCAACTGTGTCACCTACTAAGTAACATGGTTAATTTCCTCAGTATAATACCAGTGAACTACGTTGTAATTTTGGTGTCCATTATAATGACATGTGAATTTAGCAGTTTTACATTAAAGCCTATTGTAATTTCTTGCAAACGACCAAAGCTATCTAGAGGTAAACATGCAGTTTTCAACCGTAGACAGGTGTCTTTACAGCATGTTTTGGTCGATTAATAAACTTCCCGAGTCTGCAAAAGTTGCGAATGCAAAAACTATCCGGATGATATCCCACTTTACTCTATACTATAATAACAGTATAAGATAACAAAAACACAAATTCAAGAACACATTATTGAACTATTCTATATTAAATGCACAAAGTTACTGAAAACAACTTCAAAGCAATTTCTTAACCAGAGGATATGAAATCATTAAATCTTTCATTCGTATTTCGCAATAGAATTCGCACACAGTCGGGTGTTGTGACCGATTGATAACAAATATGACAGGTACGTAGCTTGTGAGGTACTTTCAGCTTGTTTAAAATTCGTGTTGATCGACCAACTGATACAATTGATGGGGTACCTTATAATTTATTATAAATGTAGGGAGATGTAGTATGATCGCAAAAGAGACAACTATCAATCAAAGACCAAGATTCAAAGATATGAAGAGGTCACTGATGGTACAGGTCACTGACGGTACAGGTCACTGACGGTATTACACAATGAGCATAAACCAATACCGTATAGGAAACTATACAAGGTCACTGGAGGACAAAATGTGAACAAATGAAAAACCACCGGCCTGATTTATAGTTCAGGAATAAACGAAAATATGTTGATTCTAGTCATGCTTACTGATCTTTTCAACCACACACTTTTATTTTTAGTATAGCATTTTCATGATTCTCGTGTTTTTTTTTCGTTTTACAGAAATATCATCGTTAGGTTTACAAAATCCAGTGTTTTACAATTCCTCTCCTGAGACACTACTTTATGGGTCTGTTGGAGGTCTTGTATCACAAGCATTAGCAGAAGTGTTTGATTTAAACGGTAAGTATAAAACTGTGTTTTGCTTACATTATATGTGGTATAATTTTGTTCCGGACTTATATTTATTATTTTCTTATCCTTTTCCCTACCAGAATGAAACATCTTTGTATTGAAATATGCGTGAATACCACAATTACTAAATATTAGAAACACTAAATCACATTGGCCAAAGCATTGGGAGAATGAATACTTCATGGAAAAATAAAAATAAAATTGAGAATGGAAATGGGGAATATGTCAAAGAGACAACAACCAGGCCAAAGAGCAGATAACAGCCGAAGGCCACCAATGGGTCTTCAACGCAGCGAGAAAATCCCGCTCCCGGAGGTGGTCCTCAGCTGGCCCCTAAATGAAAATGTGTACTAGTTCAGTGAAAATGGACGTCATACTAAACTCCAAAACATATAAATGAACTAAAATTAAAAAACATACAAGACTAACAAAGGCCAGAGGCTCCTGACTTGGGACAGGCGCAAAAATGCGGCAGGGTTAAACATGTTTTGTGAGATCTCAACCCTCCCCCTATACCTCTAGCCAATGTAGAATAAAGAAACACACAGCGATACGCACAGTAAAACTCAGTTTAAAAGAATTCCGAGTCCTATGTCAGAATAGGTACTAGTAACAAAAGAAAATAAGCAAAATGAGAATGATACATAAATTAACAAAGGACTACTACCAGACCTCAATTAAACTGATTGAAAGATTATGTCTTCATCATATGAAAATCAAGAACAATCCCTCCCGTTAGGAGTTTAGTATCATACCATCATAAAATATATGAGAAGAACATAACCCGTATCATGTAGCAAACATGCCATAGAAAACTAAATAGAAAATAAAAATGAAAACCACGTGGACCTGAATATCAAGAAAGTCAAACCTTTACAGGTCTAGAAGTAATAATAAAAGATTTGTACCATTAAAGCTTACCCCTTTTTTAAATAGTATAAATGCAAATTATTTAAACGATCTGTAATGTTTAAAAAATATCTCTTAGTCTTGGCAATGGTGAATGATTAATGTTTAAGGGGGTAATATCCTTTGATCCTTTGTAGACGAAACGCGCGTCTGGCGTACACAATTTCAATCCTGGTATCTACGATGAGTTTATATACTATCTATACACAAGTAGTTGTGTTAACCAGTAGTAGCCATGTTAAATGATAATATTGCTGCGCACAATTTGTGAATCTATGATAATTATTTAACTTTGTTGTAGTCTCTTTGCTTTTACATTTTTGTTTTGCAAAAAAGGACAATAGTAACTCCAATATTTAAGTTGGTTATTTACTAACTGACTATATTTAAGGTAAATACAAAGACAGCCCATTGATTTGTTTCTTGATAGAAAAGATATTAAACAGTCATATAAAATTGAACTTTACCTCATCTATATACCAATGCATATCGTGATTGTTTTTTTCTTTTTTATCTTTCAGCTCTTCTTTCACACTATATTAGTGGTACCATTGACAAAAGTGTCGTGTATACAATTGCTCATCATCTAGAGTGCTTAGCTGAGTTCTACAATGCATATAAATATTCCAATGATCAAGGAAGAATAATCCATGTAAGTTTTGTTTACTCTGACTACAAGTGGAAATGAAATATCGAACTGAAAGTCAACTATTTCAAATTAATTTTACAAATCACTTTTTACTTGCCCATTAAGTTTCCCCTTCCAATACCAGCAATTATCATAAACTGGCGTCCATCATCTGTCCATTAATTTTCTTTGATAGAGGATTGCTGGTTATGACCAAGGATCCCAAGCGGTAAAATTGAAGCCCCCATTTGAAATTTTTACGGATGCCGTCACGAGTTGCATGGTTGACCGTTATATAATATCTTTGTCACAGGTGACCATGGATATGTTCCCTAGGTATATACCAGCCATTTCTGTTGAAAGATAACCGGAAACTATAATAGGAAAACTTTTACAAAGACCCTCCTGATGGCCTATTAGCTCCTATCCACATCTTTGCAAAATCGAGTTGTGAATTTTCTCTTTCGAACTACGTGAAACACCAGAATCACGTGAAACATCAGGACCATTAGACAATTTATGGTCAATCTTTCACAAAAAAAAGAGTTCATTTCATCAAGATGGAAGAAAAAAAAAAACACAAAAAAACTAAAATTGCAGAGGCCGTTCTCAGCTCTGATTGGTAAAGTTTTCTCCTCTATAAATAAAATCCAAACAATTTCAAACTTTTCAGAAAATATTTGAAGACTAGTTCTGATCGGATGGGATACATTGGCTGTAATAATATCAAACGGTTCCAATAACACAATAAGAATATTATATTATCATTTTCTCTCTCTGAATTACAAGGCTAATCTGAACCAAACACTCCAGGGAAATATGCATGAAGCGTCAGTCATTAAAATCTATTATTTTGCCTAACTTGCGGAAAATAAAATTCAAGAAGCAGTTGTTGATTATCTTTGGTCAATTATTAAAACTTTAAGAACGTACAATGAAACCAAATATTTGCTGCCACATAGATTCCTTATTTGAACCAAGCTTTCATCGTTTTCTTTGAAACTAAATAACCAATCTGCAATTTAAGTACTTCTTCACATTTGAAACTATTTTTGAAATTTACAGGAAAGATAATTAGTAGAGTATTTACCTCGTCTCGTGCTGATTGGTTGACACATGTGCCACCGAAAGTTATGGGAAATCACTTTTAAATATTTTCCTTTGAAAGTACATGCATAATCGAGCTAAAGTGTATGTCAAAATAATGCAAGGAAGGACTTTTGTGTTATTTTGTTCTAATCAAGTAAAAACAAAAAGAAAATCGGAAGCATTTCTTAGTTCTGATTGGGCAATTTAAAATTTATTCATTGAATGATTTAAAAGGTAAACACTTATCAGACTATGAATGATGATTATAACATCTCCCACCAATCTCGTGGTGACAAACTTGGCAGCAATGATGCCTTATAAGCTTCATTGAACCCTATGTGTAATCACGTTTTCGTCTTATTCTTTGAAACATTATTTTAAGTTTTTATCTTATTTTGAGGGAAAACGTACATTGTACCTTTGCTCACAAATCATGCAAAGGTAGTTCAAAATTATCAACATTAGACTTCCTTTGATAGGAACAGTTTTCAGTTTTGTTGTGAAGTCAGTACGGTTATGAACAATTTTGTTTATTTTTAGGTTCGTGGAGATTTAACAAAAAGCAGTAACTTTAGAGATATTTTGTCAATACATCTAGCACAGAGAGTAAGTATTGAGTAACACAATTGTAATCCTCACACTTGTAAGTGCACAATGCTCCCGCACGTTTAACAGGTCTTCCTTATTGATTTCATTTTCATCTCAAAGTTCCTTTCGGTCTTCCTTTTTTTCGGTGTCTTTCATTAATATACGTACTAGCTTAAGATGTCTTTTACTTCCATTTACGCGTAACTCTATTTACAAAATTTCCATTGATCTAGATACTCAATAATTTCTATTTCAAAATTATATTTTTGAAATAAGAAGAAAGAAATTTATTCTTTTAATTTATTGTCTTCTAGAACTTATAATTTGAACACCCTTTGAACTATGCTAAACGTTACAATGAAATGATGGATCCGAAGCTATTTTGCTAACCCGTACATAAATTGCTAACAAAAGCACATAAGTTTCACATGTGAAGCACATGAGATGCAAGTAAGAATTGTATGCAAATCAGATTGGTCACATGTGCAGTTTGGTAGTTCATATGTGCCCACGAAAATCTAACATAATGCTCATATGTGCAATTAAAACCTCAGGTGAGCTTTTATCATTCATGTTAGTTTTATGTTATTTTTGTACTTTGAAAAGTTTGTCCATTCTTCTAACCATTCAAAACTAACCTAGATCATTGCTCATATGAGCTTTTTCAAAATGACATGCCCAGTCATGTACTTCCTGTAAATTCAAATTCAAAGCATCAATAATTTTGGAGGGAGATGGAGATGAAAAATTTTAAGCCATATTTTGTGCTATTTGAAGTTAATGACATTGTTAGAATCTGATAAAACCAGTGTGGCTGTGGTTAATTATTTGTAAGTTATCATTTCTATTTCATTATGTTCATTTTTGTGTCACGATTCTGAAATATATTACAATTTCAAGTCCTTTATGGGAGCTAGTATATATATATACAGGTTGCTTCAAATAAGTACTACATGTATATAGATAATTCCTTTTTAAACTTTCTGAAATACAGTACTTAATCAGACATTCATTATGTACTAAACTTGCAAGTCCCTCCATTAGTTTTATAATGTAATGTTATGTTTTAAGTCATTATTGTTTAAATAACAAAAAAGACAAAATAATATGAAAATCATAATTAACTGACAGTTATTAAAGAATAACACTTAACATGATGTGTCAGTTATTTTATTTTCAATTAAATTATTTAAGATTTTCATTTAAATTTGAAAAATATTCCTATTTTGAAGCAGCCATTTTGTTTTGATCTTTAGATACAATTAAATCATCATCATCTGGAAATAATTAGATATCACAATCAAATGGGTCAACTAATATTCACGTGTGCAACATGTGAGCAGCTGCTCATATCTGATAAAATGCACATGTGAAGCAAAAGCTCATATGAGCATTTGCACGTGAGGTTTTTAACATGCAAATTAGGTTAGTTTCATATGTGCAATTTTTTTGCTCACAAAATGCTCACCTAATTTGCATGTTAAAAACCTCATGTGCAATCATGTTAGTTTCTAAGGTGAGCATCTAATGTGCAACATGTTAGCACCGTTTGGTAAGGGAAGGTCAGTTTTACAATTTTTGAGTTTTGACATCTACCTTCAATCATAACTACTTTCCTGATATGTCGGAATCTTATCAGCAAAATTAATGATTGTCTATTCTTGCATTTAATTTTTTTCGTGTGTTATAAATGGTCCCCATACGAACGACCTTTTTCTTATGAATAAACGTGAATTTCAAATATAAAGTATTTCCTTTTCTATTTCAGACATTTCAGAAAGGTCTTCCATTAGTTAAAGTATTAGACTTACCTGGTGTTAACTACACAGAGAGTCAAACATTCTTCATATCTTACGCACAGGTAAGGTCCATTATATTCATATTGAGGGCATTAAATTATCGGTAATGACAACCAAAATATTATGAATGGGGAAGTTTTATAATTAGTGTTCGGACAATGAATTTGGGACATTGGCTCCTAGATACATTGTTGAAATAAAACTCGCTGTCTTAAAAGTGGTAGATTTTATATATTTTAAAAATAATATGGAGCTTTAAATTGTTACGCTTCTGAAACGGTCGTGAACGAGGGTCTGCCACCAACCCTAAATTTCCCGAATGGCATAACATATTTACGACAACTATCGACGAAGTTCCTGTCTGCATCTTAACACTTATTTGTTTAAACACTACATCATAAAAACATTTTTACCGTTGTTTTCATTTGAAAATACAGAACTGTATGTTTGAAATTTGTGTCGTACAATCGGTTTGAAGCATAGACAATAACTTCTTTGAAAAAAATGATAGAGTAAAGTGTTTTCATTTTATTTATTTAGAAAACAAGTAGCATAAATATTAAAGAACATCTGCTGATATAGAAATACTAACAAGAAACTGAATTAATATCGACAAAATTTCGAGTTTCACTTTACTTTCTTATTCACCATTATTATTGTTATTTAAGAAATCATAGTTTTGACTCTACTGAATTCTATGTTTCATTTCTGTAGCTTTTCTGTGAAAAAGTGACACCAAAGGGTATTACCCAATACTATGTAAACAACGAAGCTAGTAAGACGCCATTGCCAAATGAATTCAGGTTTGTAGATTAGTTGATTATCCTCACTACAGGAGTTTAAACAAAATTTTTAGAAGTAAAAAATATATACACAAGCACAACTTTCTTTTTTTATTCTTAAATATGAAGAAACATGATGACTTTAACTTTCCTTTGTGTTTGTGGAGGATGGGAATGTTTAACGACCTTGAATGGCTGTAAAGCCCCAGCACGGTCGGTACAATTGTGTTTGTGAAGATGAACAGAGATCAGTACAATGTGATGCAGCTTTCTTGTTTTTTGTAATCGATACATACTTATATAAAACATAATTTTACTCAGCATTATCAATTATCAAAGTACAGCAGCTCAAATTTATTGTGACAATCAACAAGCTGAAAAAAATTGACTAAAAACTTTATTTAACGTCAGTATACATGTTATCAATTTGATATATATATCAAGTTATGCACGTTCATACATAGAAATATATTGAACAATCAATTTCCAATCATTACAATTTATTGGTGGTGGTAGTTCATCACAATGTTGACTGCTGTATCCCAAATTTTTACATTTTTACCTATCATGTCTATTTGTTTTGCTCACACATTGTTGTGAATTTGATGGAATTCTATGTGATTGTCATACAAGTGAGAGGTTTAGCTACCTATAAAACCAGGTTTAATCCAGCATTTTATACATAAGGAAATGCTTGTACAAAGTCAGGAATACGACAGTTGCTTTCCATTCGTTTGATGTGTTTGAGCTTTTGATTTTGCCATTTGAGGGGACTTTCCATTTTGAATTTTCGGTATTTCTGTTGTATTACTTTTTACATGTAATTCGGCACATGTTGAATGGGAATACAGGAACCATGCTGTATTTACAGCGGAATTCCTCAGTTCTAACCGAATGAGAAAACCCGGTATTTAAAGGTTCAATTCAAATTATTTCAGCCCTAGTTTAGTTAATAAATAGTGTATACCACTTTTCTTGACATGTTAAAATCGCATATAAAGTAGTGGATTTACCATGTTTACGAGTTGCATCATTCAAAATTGAACGGTCTTTTACATTTCAGAATAAAAGGAATGATGTCAAACATGAAACATTTTGCTGCTGCATTCCATTGTCCAGCTAGTAGTCCAATGAATCCACAAAACAGATGTCCACTGTTTTAACTCGCGCAATTACATTTCTGTTGTTAAACTTAGACCCTATGATTTGTTAAACAACTTGATGATGATGTTTATTTCAGTGATTTACAAATAAAATAACTTGACCGATGGAGAATTGAAATTAGGTGCAATATTGCCATACAAATATAGTGATATCAAATATAGTTATCAACTTGTGTTTGGCTTGATAACAATGATAGTTTGTTTGTAGCTAAAAGTATCAGTTTTTATAGAATTAATAGTATGGAAAGGCTTGTATTGTATAGTGCTTTAGTTTGTGAAAGTATTATGCTGTATGATAAATAGAAAGTAAGTATGTGTAATGTGTGTCATCAGTGTCGTTTAAAACAGTCAGGTTTTTTTAGGTGCTATTTACGTTAGAATATACTTCAAAACTAGTAAATTGGTACATCAGTTATGTAAAATCTGTCTATTCTTTTGTTTCTTTTATAATATAACTTCCCTGAAATCCGTAAATATAACAATTTCAAGATAGGCGTATAAATAACAACATAAGTGAAAGAAAAGTTAAAAAACGAGACTTTTGAAAACATTTTAAAGACAAAAAAAGAATCCTCTATGGTGAATTTTGGCTGAGAAAAAAAAGTCAAAGAACAGCTACACAATCCTTCAACTGAAAATATATAATGAAAGCTATAATTTGAATCATGACACTACAGGTCTCTGCACTTCCGCGGAATTATAGTCTGCCAACAAAAGTTTCGATCCAGTTATAATTATATAAATGTGCATTATTAACTTTAGTGCGAACAACGCGTGTAAGCGATTCCATGGTTAACAAAATAGCTTTGATCATACAATTTAAAAAACCCAACTAAATGCTGAATTCTTGAATTACTGATGATGATAATGATTACTGTATTGATTGGCGATCATGATTTTAATTATCATTCCCCCATTTTTTACTTAAAGTTTATTCACTGGTATATTTGAGATAGGTGAATGATACGTTATGAATGCATGTTGATAAAGGGAAATGATATGTTTGTCAGTATTATATTTTGTTGATTTGACACCGTAATATTTAATCATTTTGTTACTTTATATATACAAATAAAATTTTATTGCTATTTTTCAAACAGTGTTTATTTTTTGGAGGAATTAGTTTATTCCCTAGACTTTGATATCACGAGTTCATTTATTAATTAAGACAATCTGAACTTTACTTCTGAATATCTAAAGCCTATATATTTATAGCCACGAGTTCATTCAAATTTTAGTTTATTAGAGTGAACAATTTAAAATATTTTCCTCATTTGCAACGGGGGACTTGGTGGCAAAATGGTCTATGTAGTCACTACCCTGTCAACACTGAATTTGTGAGTTTAAACCCCATGCGTGGCAGGTCCGTTCGAATCCAATCTGAATTGACTATGATTGTCAATTTTTACCGCCGAAGATCGGTGGTTTTCTCCGGGCAATCCGGCTTCCTCCATCAATAAAAACTAACCCCCATGAAATACCCAACATTTCTGAAAGTGGCATATAAACAACAAACAATTATTTGCAACGGATATTATAAAGCGAGACAGATGCTAACAATGTATACTCATCAGTCTGTATATATGAACTTTGATTTGTACAAGATTTACACGCTGATCCCAAATATTTACATACTAGTTTACCACGTAATAGTCCGCGGAAAGACATTTCATACCCAAACACAGTATTCTGGCTTTTTACTCGTTAATGTTACAGGCTTAGCGGAGAAATAGAATCAACCACCTCTCGTTATCGAGGCGAGCATCCTAACATGAGACACCAAGGCGGTAAATAAGGATAAGGTATCCAGCACGAAAAGTTCACACCTTATTTCGTGGGAAATTGTTCATAATAATGAGTGTTGTCATACTTTTTTGTTACATGACGTTAGTTCAATACCGTTATTGGTGAATTCTTGCGCCAATACGGTATGTTTGTGAATTTTCTTTCTTTCAAAACCATCTACCAAATTTTTTCAACGATTAATCTATAACAAAAAGTCTGATTAAGTGTTACAAATTAAAGACACACTGATTTTCATTATGACCAGAGATGCGAGAGTATGAAAACTTTAATCCTTTGACATTTCAATTCAGTGTTTTTCTGTGGTCATTAATGCATTTACACTACTAAAACCATTCAACGCACTTAAATATAAAGAATGAATATAGTTTCTACAGGATATAAATTGCATACTACACATCTTTCCATAGTTCTCTCCCATATGTACACATATCCAGCTTGTTATTAGTATCTTCGTCTTCCGTTTTTTTTTAATTTTTGGAACGTTCTCTTAATTGCTGAACTAAATATTACCAAACATGGCAGCATATTCTTTTTGGCTGTTGCAAAACATGTTTGTCATTTGGTTCCGATCGGATAACAGTTTTCGCCTAGGTCAAAAATAATGAATCTTCAAAACTTTGTTGGAAGCTATAGAACATTCTTTAAGTTATATTTCGAATATTATGATTTCATAACTTATTTGTAATTATTTATAATATATACATGTTGTCTTTTGTCAATCTATAAAAGGAAATACAGTATGATGATGATGATAGTAAAATCTTCTTTATATCTAGAATCGCTCATTCAATTGAAACAAAATACGACAGTTACGGTACTTTCCGAGTGTTGTTACTTTTGTACCTTTCGGACAACCATCATGTGAGCAAGCAGGGGACTCGTTTATATTGAACCGCATAAATGATAAATTATAACATCTTCACCGGGAACATTCGGACCAGTTTAAAAGAAATTAAACAAAATTGATCCTGTGTGGTATGTAGTGACGTTTAGATCTTTACCTGTGGGTTTTGACTGAGCACTATAATAAAAGAAAAAAATACTAGTAACATGGTTTATTTAACCAGTTTAATTTCAGTGAATTTCGTTGTAATTTTGGTTACACCCACAATCCATTACAATCAAAAGCGAAAAAAAAAGTGAGCAGTTGGTAAATATTTGCAAATGACCAAAACTATCTAGAGATAAACATGCAGTCTTCAACCGAATACCCGTGTTTTTACAGTAGGGTAAGGTTTAAACCACCCAAGTATGCAAAAATTATCCAGAGAATTTAATACAGTAGCCTATACTAGAAACAGTATTACATAATAAATACAAAAAAAAAAGATTGATTGGTTGATTGATGTTTGCTTTAAGCCGCCTGATCACAACAAGTACAAAGAAAACAATAATAAACTTTTTCTGAATCAAATGCACAGAGGTACTGACAACGAGCTCAAAGCAATGGCGACATAAAATCTTTAAATCCTTCAGTCGTATTTCACAGAAAAATTTGTACACATTCGAGTATTTAACTAAGTAATACCAATTATTACAGGTACGTTTCTTGTGAGGTACTTTCAGCTTGTTGACTATTCGTATTGATCAACCAACTGATACGATTGATCGATGGTACTTTATAATTCATTGTTTATGTACGGAGATGTAGTATGATTGCCAATGAGACAGCTATTAATTAAAGACCAAGATTCAAAGATATGAACAGGTCATTGTACGGTATTCCAAAATGAGCATAAACCAATGCCGTATAGGAAGTTATAAAAGGTCACCGGATAACAAAATGTGAACAATTAAAAAAAAAAAAAAAAATGAAAACCACCGGCCTGATTTATAGTTCAGGAATAAACAAAAATGTTGATTCTAATCATGCTTACTGAACTTTTCAATCAAACACTTTTATTTTTAGTTAAACATTTTCGTGATTCTCGTGTTTTTATTTTTGTTTTGCAGAAATATCATCGTTAGATTTACAAAATTCAGTGTTTTACAATTCCTCTACTGAGACACTACTTTATGGGTCTGTTGGAGGTCTTATATCACAAGCATTAGCAGAAGTGTTTGATTTAAACGGTAAGTTTGAAACTGTATTTTACTTACGTCATATGTGGTATAATTTTGTTCTGTACTTATATTTATTATTTTCTTATCCATTTCCCTATCAGAATGAAACATCTTTGTATTAAAATATGCACGACTGCCACAATTGCTTAATATTAGAAACATCAAATCACATAGGCCAAAGCATTGGGAGAATGACTACTTCATGGAAAAAGAAAAGCACACATGCCATAGAAGACTAAATAGAAAATGAAAATGAAAACCACGTGGACCTGGATATCAGAAAAGTCAAACCTTTACAGGTCTAGAAGTAATAATAAAAGATTTGTACCAATAAAGACTCCCCCTTTTTGTATAGTATAAAAGCAAATTATTTAAACGATCTGCAATGTTTACAAATTATCTCTTAGTTGTGGCAATGGCGAATGATTAATGTTTAGGCGGGTAATATCCTCTGATTCTTTGTAGACGAAACGCGGGTCTGGCGTACACAATTTCAATCATGGTATCTATGATGAGTTTGTATACTATCTAAACACAAGTAGATGTGTCAACTAGTAGTAGCCATGTTAAATGATAATTTTGCTGCGCAGAAGTCTCTTTGCTTTAACATTTTTGTTTTGCAAAAAAGGACGATAGTTATTCCAATATTTAAGTTGTCTGTTTACTAGCTGACTATATTTAAGGTAAATACAAAGACAGCCCATTGATTTATTTCTTGATACAAAAGATATAAAATAAAGGCCACAGTAGTATACCGCTGTTCGAAACTCATATATCGATAGAGATAAAAACAAATCCGGGTTACAAACTAAAACTGAGGGAAACGCATCAAATATAAGAGGAGAACAACGACACAACAAAAACACAACATTAAAATGTAACACACACAGAAACGAACTATGATATAACAATGGCCATTTTACTGACTTGGTACAGGACATTTTAAGAAAAAAATGGTGGGTTGAACCTGGATTTGTGGCATGCTAAACCTTCCGCTTTTATGGCAACGTCAAACACAACACCAAAACGACTACATCACATGACAGGACCACAATACAAATAAATGGGAGAACATATAGGACAAAGAAACACACGAATAATAGCTAGCAGAAGGTACTAGGCTTAAAATTCAATACGCCAGACGTACGTCTCGTCCACACATGACTAACCAGTGACGCTCAGATAAAAAAAGTTTGAAAGCCAAAACAAGTACAAAGCTGAAGAGCACCGAGGACCAAAACTTCCAAAAAAATGCGCCTAATACGGCCAGGATTTTCTGCCTGGGACAAGAACATCCTTATTATTTAGAATAATTTATAATTTTGCAAACAGTAAATATTATAAAATGACTATATAATAGATATACATGATAAAACCAAAGTGGGGACTAACTACAGAATAAAAACGGATACATTACATAAAACAACCTAATCCAACATATAAAAATACACAACCGAGTTAGCTAAAGCCTCAACGCACAAAATGCATCACATTTGAAATTCTAAAAAAAACACCCAAAGTGACGTCACATATGAATTTGTAAAAATATTTAAACAGTCAAATTTTAGTCTTAGATACATGATTCTTTTTTTCTTAGTTGTTTATGGCTTTGAACTAGCTGTCAGTAACTGCAAGTACTCTCAGATCTGTACTTAGTGTCTCTTTCATTGTTAGGGATGAGGGATGGATAAATAACCTGCCACGTCCCGGTCTGTGTTTATGTTTGATGTTTTTCAGCTTTGTATCGATCTCATGAGTTAAGCCTTTCTCAATTGATTTTTATAGTTTGTTCTTATGCTGTGTTGTTACACCACTGCCCCGGGTTAGGGGGAGGGAAGAGCGCTCACAAACATGTTTAACCCTGCCACATTCTTGTGCCTGTCCCAAGTCAGGAACCTGTAGTTCAATGGATGTCATTGGTTCATGTCTGTCATATTTGTTTTTCGTTAATTGTTTTGTTATAAATTAGGCCGTTAGTTTTCTCATTTGAATTGTCTCATATATTTCCTGTCGAGGCCTTTTAACGCCGACTATACGGTATGGGTTTTTTTCTCATTGTTGTAGGCCGTACGGTTGCCTATAATAGCTTACATCCACTTTATTTGAATTTTGGTGGATAGTTGTCTCATTGGCAATCATACCTGATCTCCTTTTTTTTTAATAAATTTGAACTTTACCTCATCTATATATCAATGTATATCGTGATTGTTTTGGTTTTTTTTTTTAT